TCCAAACACTGCTTCCTCTTGTCAAACGCACCACAACCACATAGTATGCATCGCCACACATCGCTAAAACAAACACTCACACACTTCATACATTCGTGCCATATTTTACTCTGGCCACCTCACGCCTTTCGCCAGCCTACACCTACTTCCGCCAACATAGTGTGACGAGGCAATCGGTGACTGGGCATACCTAACACGTGTCCAAACCATCTCAGTCCATGAAGGTTGATAACATCGTCTACTGATTCACCTCTACTCCATAAAACTCTACACCTCACTTCTGCATTACTCACATACTCACACCACAAAATACCACCTACACTACGAAGACAACAGTCGTCAAACACTTGAAGCCTCCTCATGTCTTCCACTTTCAATGGCCATGTTTCACAGCCATACAGTAGAACACACCAGACTACTATGCAGTCAGTACACGCCACCCTTAGTAGACAAACGGATATCACGATGACAACATAGGTGGCATAAACTGGCAAAAGCCAGTCGAGCCTTTTGTATTCATGCACAGACTTCATCGGCAACTCACCCACCAGCGCTGATCCTACCTTCCCAGGTTACTGAAGTCGTCAACACACTCAACCACCTTCACTCTCTATTGTTAGCCACGGTGGGGCACCGCTGAAGACCAATCCTGGAGCAAACATTTGCATTTGGGTGGTGAGAACCACATCCAAAACATTCTCAAATTCCCACTCAAAGTGTTTACAAGACTCTACATCTTGTCACCGTCTTCAGCTAACACGACTGTGTCATCTGCATATTCTAGGTCTAACGAAAATTCTCCACCGATTAGGTCAACATCTGTGTAACTAGGTGACGAGAGGGAGACCTCCATGAGTATATCTATGATAAAGTAGAATAAGAATGGAGACAGTTTGCATGCTTGACGGATACCACTCGAGGGTCTTTTCTGTTTATGAACTGGTCTGATGCCTATTTCTACTAGCACAGAATTCTATTATAGAAAAAGAAACTTAATTTGATCATAAGATGTGAACAATACTAACTAACAAAGGATCAGTGTTCAACAGTAGTGGGTGAATAGCAGTCACAACAGTTTTAGGTTATTTTTCATAGCACTCCAACAATAAGATGTTTTCTGAGTAACTATCATAGCTACAGAGCTTCAAGTAACAGTAAAATACCTATTTATCAGTTTTTCCGAAAGACTATATAGAAATATAACTGATTGACAAAATTAAAGTAGAAACTCACAAACAAGTGCATCGGCTCAATTTGCAATACTTCACAGTAGTACGCAAAGAACGGGTGGATATAAGAATGATATCAAAGTAGATGGTGTGAAGAAATTCACAGTTAGAAGATAACAGTTAGTGCGAATATTCAACCATTCGAAGATTTCAAAGAGTGAATACATCTGCGCCATCGTGACCGATTTTCAGCCATGCTACCAAGAGTCCCTAACTACTCATTCCTTTTGTCACGAGGACCCCAACCCGGCGGTGTCTACATTTCCCTACACAACTCAAAAAAACAGTTAGAGTCTTCATACACTGGTGCTAGGTTTCGGTGTTTCTAATCCAAATTACGCTAGCATTGCATGTCCAGGTAGGTGGTGGTTCGCTATGCGTAGCACTTGTTCAACCCATCTCAGACGATAAAGGTTCATAACCTCATCAATCAACTTGCATATCTTGCCTAGTACCCATAACCTCACCTCAACATTGATCACATAGTGATTCCATCATTCACAAGAAATGCTACAAAAACATCTGTGATCGAAATCCTGTAACCGTTTCATCTCTTTTAAAGGCCATATCTCACAGCTTTACAATTTCCTGTTTCCTGCAACCAATAAGGCGCAGATATATACGGGCTCACACTAACGCGCGATCGAAGTCCAAACTGATACTCCAGAAAGAGCCCAATCCTCCACTGATCCTCTCCAACAATGGCTAGCTTATAGCAATGTGGTCTATCGGTGTCCATTGTTGGTTTAAAATCGACAGACGCCATGTGAGACAGTATCTCTTTATGCTTAAATTTAGTGCTGACCAGCTACATCTTATATAGTTTTAGCGTTTGCGAAAAGTATTTCAGTGTTACGGCAATAACTTACAAGCATTGCAAATGTCTTTAAACCTCTGCTGTGTTTACTAAGTACATCAGTTCGATGAAAAAGGTAATATCTTAGTAACCGTGGAAAAAACAGTCACAATTAAAAGTATGTCTGGAATTTGATTCGAAACGAAGACACCGAATTAAACTAATTCGGAATGTTGAATGATCCATAGAAAAAACAAGGCTTCAGTTTCTAATGTTATAGCACTGCAAATCTCCGTCATTCATTAGACTGTATTAATCGGTCACTACTGCCAGATTGGCTTCTGTATAGATGTCTCAATGTTGCCTGTGTTTTCAGTTTTGCGATCAATGACAGGTAGTGGCTAGCAGTGGAATTAAGGACGTGGATTTCATCCCACTCAGGACTCATCAGCTGGATGTACTTACCTCCCAGTGAGTGATTTTGTCCTCACTAACAGTCAGACCCAGGACTAATAGCTTCAAACGTCACAACGTTATCCACTAGGCTACTTAGTCACGATAACTACTCACTGTGCGACGGGTCCAACAATTTTTTACGACGTTTTCGTAAACCCTTCCAAAGACCAAACAAAAGACAATCAGGTCTCAGAACAAGTACATGAATCCAATTAAGAGAATATCTGAGATGAGTGTCGGATTAAATTGATTGTGCGATCTACTGAGGAATTCTAAAATAGAAGAAAATGTTTCTTCAGCAACCCTCTTGATTTTTAGTGGTTCTCGTATTGATTTCAGAAACTAGGCCATTTCTAATTTTTAATGACTTTTGGTCACTCTTTAATTCACTACGGGTAAGGTGTAAAACATATATATATATATATATATATATATATATATATATATATATATATATATATATATATGTAAGCACTTTATTTAAGAAACAGTAAGTATCTGCTATCCAGTTGTTCTGTGTTCTGATATCAGATTACTGGGTGTCATGAGTCAAGAAGTCGATTTTTATGAAGGATCAATTAGTGTATGTCACCTAGTCCTTCGGGAGTTGAATTTCAGCCTGAATAGACCACTAAGAAATGTCTCTGACTGCAGCGCTTAATGATGTGGAATCGGAGTTGCAGATACCCCTTGTCGATGAATGTCAACAAACACTAAATGGCTTATAAAATTACACTAGATGCCTTTAGCCTTCGTATTCAATGATCATAATTCTGGATATTTTGAAAAGCGAGAGATAAAGAAGCAAGACAGATCAGTGTCATAGAATATAAAACAATTTTTTCCGTTATAAGATCATCTATGGAACTGCCACATGTTGGTCTAGGCACTCAACTTCCAATCAGTGGGACACAGGTTCGAGTCCCGTTCCACTTATTCATATTTAACCAGTTAGATAATAAGTATCAACAACCATCTGGGAATAAGGAAGCCTCATTGCCAACTCCATGAACCCGCACATCATCTATGTTAACGAATTACATGAAATCGCACTTTTCATAGTTGATCAGTCCCAGTTGTAAACCTACTACGCAGTGTCTAAGGAAAGCCATAAGGAGATCATTGCATGCAGCACAGTTATGCTGTGCATTCTGCAGTCAGCCGATGATGACCACAGGAACCAAAGACAGACCAGCTGACTTCGCCTCTTCTGTTTGCAATGACCGATTCAACTACTCCTAAGGAGCTAGTAACATTGGCATACAGTTAGGCAAGTTCGTTACGGAATCGCAGAGCATCATCCGTCATGATTTAGATAAAGGTAAACAAGATCGATACGAAGCCCAATACTCGGATGTGTGTTCAGAAGGAATTCTTACAGCCTCTTTCTTTGCCTTGACCATATATGCATAAAAAGTCAGTATGTGTTCAATGAATGCATATAAAATAAAGCGACTGTGAGACCAAAAGCAGTCGTGGTGAGCTGTTGCGCAACAGTTTAGAGGACTTTGTAGCGAAGTAACAAGTATCATGAATGGTTAGGAGCACCAAACATTGAATAAACTCGAAATCTGAAACAATAAAGATTAATTACTGATGAATATTCTTCGAAACCACTTTGTCAACATTCTACTATAAATTGTGAAGAAGCAACTATCAAGTCTTGATGCTCTGCAGTAGCCTTTGTTCTACTATCAACGATGACCAACCACACTGGGTTGAAGCTACAAAATAGAGTTTACGAAAAGCAGAACGTTTAAATGGAGAACATATACCAACTAAAAAGGAATCTCAAGCAGGATAGAATGCAAATCCACAACTGGTTTGGTAGTATACTGATTGATATTTGATTTCCTCCGAATATTTAATAACTTACCCTGATGCATAAAGCTTTCAGGCACAATAATTGTATAGGGGACATTTTGTGTCTTCCGGTTACCCAGTGAAAATTAAGTGGAGAGGAAGTCAATTTTTAACCGAATGAGTCACATCCACACAAACACATATAAGCTTGTATAATATCCAAAAATTAACATTAACAGGAGAGTAAACCAAGTGAGACCTAGTCGTTTGAAGGAATTCTGACCACATTATTACAATAACAGAATCTGATATTATCCTATAGAGAGAATGGTGATCTCTGTGCAGAGAAACACTTAGTGCAATCCATTTTACTACTATGGTCTCAAATCTACAACTTAATGATGATTTGTGGGGACAGTTTCCATAAAAATTCGTTCAAAAGTGTCTGATGTTTTAAATTTGCATCCAAGTGTTTTTCATTCAATTCACTCACAATACTGAATGTATTGGAACTTCATGCATGTTGTACACTGGGTACTATATCATATATTCTTGGATTTATGACTGCAGAGTCTGAGGACAAAGCTATTGAAAATAGTTGTTCATGAAAATACTTGTTTCTTCGAAATAGATCACTTGAAATACGCTCACAACATTAGATAGTTTTAAGAGATTATGTGAACAAGTTTTCAGAAAATAACATCCGTATAACTTACCGATCGACATACCAGTACATAGGGTCAAGTATGACACTTTTTGTACACCGGCGTACTTGAAAACCTGATCTTTACATACATACATGATGTATGCTGACAGAGTCAAAGGAATAACTGAGCTGACCACACGACAACTTGGACAGTTCTCATATGGATGAGAAACACCATCGGTATTAGCTTCAACTATTGGTTTCTTCATATTAACTGTGATGGTAAATTTGAAAAAAGAACATAGAAAGAAGTAAGATTGAAATGTTTGGAAGTCATATAACAATGAATAGTTCTTAAGTAGCCACTGTTTAAATGTAACTATTTCAAGGTTCAAAAAAAATGTCACTGACTAGACGCTCACGCCAAATCACACCACTTAATAAGTAATACACAAAGAGAAAACACAGGACAGATTTCCTTGAAAGAAATGGTTATGTAGAATGATAAGAACGCTTTCAAAAGTGTTTAAGTGCATTGTTTTATTAGTATAAAAATCATTTGAAGTTCATATAACCTTGAAGCCAAGGAAGCCAAATTCAGTACGTTTATATGATAGTAATGTATCCATAAAGTTAAACAGAAGAAGCGGATGCTCAATGTTCCAACACGATCACTAGATGTGAAGAATCCACCAAAGACGATTAGATACAGCCACGATTTCAAAGTAGTGATGCATATCGATTGCAAAACTACAGTGGAAATGATATAAGAAAATAATTTATTGAATGATTAAAGAGAGAACCAAACACCTCACTGTATTTCATCGCATATGCAAACTACCTGACCGGTTCCGTCTAGATGCCTGGACAGTATTAGTGTTAATCATATAGATTATATGATGTTTTATAGTGTTCATTATTTTGACGCATACTTTCTGGTTCAAGTTAAACAATAAAGGCTCTCCATCACTAAACACATGTGAAATAATAAGTTATAACTATTGTCAGTATCAACAGAATATTACTAATTGACTTTGGAAATGTCAGTTACAGGACTACGTCTCATGGTTAGTATGGATATAGGATCCTACATATGTAATACTGGGGAATTTCAGATTGGGGTAAAACTGTGGTATACAGTACACAGCCTTCTTTTTAACGGTTATACAATTTATGCACATTTATGATAACGACCATTACAAAGCATGAACCGGGTAGAAGAAAACAGGAAATTATATTTCGGTTCAATGATTTATGACTCATCGAATGTTTGTTTTTTAAATGTACATTGGTGAAGAGTTTCATATTTAAGCAAAATAGTTATTCAGTGCTGGCAAGTTTGTGACATTTCTCCGACTGATGTTAATCTACGATGAAAACCACTGTGGGAGAGAAATATTCCACAATACAGTAATAATATTATTACCCATGTGCAGAAAAAACTTGGGATGGATTAGATTGGACATACACTGAGAAGACCATTTGGGGACATCACGCCCCAGGCCAAGCCCTCGAGTGGAACCTAAAAGGGAAACGACGAGTTGGGTGTTCGAGGGTGACATAGAGGAGATGGTGTGAGGAAGAAATGAAAGCTTATGGGCAGTAGTGGAGCCAGGTTCAAAAGACTGCAGAGAACAGAGTGAAATGGCGACGTACTACTGAAGCCCTATGTTCCATTAGGAACCCAAGGGACAAATAATAATAAGAACGACATTAAAAGTAATAGAAATGTGTGATTATGACAGAGAGGTAATCTCAGTTTTGTACACTTGACACTTTTTGTTTATACTATGAATTTTAAAGTGACTTTGAAGGCCAACCTAACAACTGCTGAAATGATCAATCAGACTTTGTTATTTTGTCTGGCAAAGTATTTTTTCACATTGATATGATTATGAGCAATAATTTATGCTCGAAACGTAATCAAGTAAATAATACTGCATCACTGTGCGCTTTATATCAAATAAACAAATTTAATATGGAATTACATTCTACCACAGTGCCCAAGTTTTTCACTTATATTAAAGTATTTTTTCATAAAATAAAGAAATGTAATCGGTTGTTGCATCAGTCGGAGATATAATATGCTACGAGCTTGTGTATTAAAAACGTTCAAAGATTCATGACCAAGATGTTAATTGTTTCATGGTGGATAGCAGTAATATTCAGAAAGTATCTACCACTTACTTTCAAGACTCGATAGGTAGTTTTGCCTACATTACAATGAGTAATGCCAAAACTGCAACTCAGCACTCGAAACTTCAAATGTCACAGCGATATTCATTGGACTATTCAGTCATCTGTCTGGAAAGAATACTGGTTATTACTATTTAGGTTCAGTGACGATATGGGAAATTCGGTATTAGACTGTAGACTACAGTAATTGTGTGAAGACGAATGAAACTACTCAGTTATACAAATCAATGCAAATGAAGCAGTTTTGAATCCATCATACAGCTATCAAGTTAGATCTATAGATTATTGAAACTAAATTCCATCTATTAGGAAAAAAGGTTTAACGAAGCTGAAAACACTAAACAGACAGATTTGAGCAGACAACAGTTCTAAACACCCTTTTTATTCAGAAATTTATTTTTTATGAGTTTGTTTCACTTGGCATTCGATCAATCTGTTCAGCTTTCAATGCTACATTGAAACTTCTATTAACATGAGTACATGAAAAATTGGTTGGTTGTGGCTAGCAGAAGAATCCACGACGCGTATTTCGTCCTATTTGGGACTCACTGGTCAGCTGGATGTACCTGCACCCCAGTGATGTTGTTCCCCCTGGGAACATAATGAGTACATGAATGTTGAGAATATTCACAACATTCATGTAACTAGTTATTTGTAAGAGTACTAGTGAATTGAATCGTGATATTTCCAAACGAGTAGGGAAAGACCGATAATCATACTTAATTTGATCACCTTGAGTGTATTTAAGACTTTAGTTCAACTGATTTATTTTATCATATACATTTATGTAGGGTTACTCAAACCCCATAGAAACATTATGAAAATATACTACTAAACAACTTAAGTGACAACAAACCACTCAGGTTGACCCGTAGAATTTGCCAGCAAGATCAGAGTGATCTAAACAACACTGGACTTCATCAATAGTGTAGACGAACAGATCCAGCTCAAAGTCAAATTATTCAGACCACTTGAATCTGACGAAATAAGTTAGATGAACTGATATACTTACTATAAATAGTATGATCAATTCACAAATTCCAAGGTAAATCCTGATATTTCTCTCAGCTAAGTAGGGCTTTTTTTAACCGTCCAACTGTAATGTTAACAAGGCCTTCCATTGGAAACCGTCCTTTGATCAAGATCACAAAATATGATCTCTGTCAATGTGGACTGTGCAATTAGTAAATCATTTGCACACTGATCACCATGTAAATAATGTCAAGGTGTGCTAGTGAGTGTGCAGACTCGATAAAAATTGTCATTTAATAAGTGAGTTCATTTTGAAATACTCTATTTAGTGACCTGAATATTATTCTACATATACAATTTCATCAAATTCAATATTTTTTTATCATTTAGTTTTAATTGCCAAGGTTGATCAATCCATCGAGTGATGTTAGCATATATGTGTGTTTCACAACTTACTGTGCGCTACTCAAGATATCATATGATTCGATAGCTTCAAAACGTTATCACATATGACTGAGAAAGAAACTTCGTAGTTTCAAGGTGTTATTTATTTTTGAAAAGTTATTTCTTCAGTGGCTACGTTTCTCTTTTCCTCATGACTCTCTTAATCTTTCGTATGTGTCCCTGACTGTTACATTTCCTGTGGCATATTTCCTAATGCTTCTGTACCACTGTGAATGCCGAAATAAATAAATCAAAATGTGACAAGGTAATTGTTCTGTCTGGAGTTCTACAAAACAGATCACTTAACTGTCAAAATTCATCGACTGGTGTGTTTTTTCAGATAGTTTTCTGTAGTTTTGTTTGAAATATTTTCATACTTGAAAATGAGAAGATTGTTCATTAAACCATGGCTAATATATATGCTAATTAATGCAGATACGTCCGGCTGACGAGTCATAAACAGGACGAAATGTGTGGTCTGGACTTCACTGCTTCTGCTCATCATTAGGTGGATAATGTCAAGATGAAACTTGAGACAGTATGGAGTAACCTGTTCAAGGAGCTCATATGCTACGAGAGATAGATCAATTCGGCCTAGAAGGATAATCAACGGGAAATTACAAACATCAACAAAATAGCAATGCTAACAAACTTTACAAGGTATGTTAATGAGCTTTTGCCATTAAAATTGTTGTTAAATACACTAGCACTTGGATTATATCATCGTGTACTGATAGTGCTTATCCTTGAAGTCTGCGACAAGTAAGCGACGTAGTTAGTTAGCTCTCAACTTACATTTAGTTATGAAGAGTCGGCATTTGGGGCAGCAATAAATATTCTGATTGACAATAGTACGCTGTCACCATTCAAATTTCATTTTGCTATAAGCGCAATTCTAAGAGGCTTTTGAATTTTTCATATCTTAACAGCCAATGTCCCATCAGGAGATTCTATAGTTCGCGTCAAAATTGCAGGTAAACAAGCTGAATAGCAGCGTTACAACATTTCGAAGAATGTTCCAATGCTATCATATCATATTACAGGAGTGATTTTTTATAGTAATGATGGGCAGTGGCTAGCAGTGGGATCCAGGATGCGCATTTCGTCCTGTTTGGGACTCGTCAGCTGGATGTACCTGCCTCCCAGTGAGTGATGTTTCCACCGGGACTCGGACAGGCAATATCGAGGCATCCGCACAGGAGCCCATATGTCAACAGAGACTGATCAATTCGGAGTGATTTTCTGTTCAAAATTAGGTGGAGTGACTAGGTTTTGTGATAGGTTCATAGATCACCAAAGTTCCACAAACTGTAGTATCTCGACGATGAAATTTTGGTACATATTTAAAAAGATTGACTGGTATTTACCACCTTACGCAAGTCTGAGGAAATTTCTGCACATCCAACATAAACAGAATCTAACAACGGAGAAGTAGGCTTTGTCATGTTATGTGGTTGTGATAAAGACTTTTACAGTTGATGACGTAAGGGGACTGCTAACAGATAATTTGATATGGTTTCCAATATGAATCTACTAAGATCCCTGTAGCACGGATCCAATTATCAAATGTCTGAATGACGACAGTTGAAGTCCGAATAGCAGGTATGAATATTCTATTTGATATATGCTGGTCAGATAAATACAAAGTATCACAAAA